GCAGAGTTTTGTAAAGAGAGCACCACAGGCAGTTTAGGCAGGGAAATTCTTTTGTGGGAAATTGACTTTGACATTGATACATGTTTTGCCTCCTTCACCCCAATGTAATAAATGGTTTTCTCACTGGTCCTACCCTCACCCATGCCCTTCCCCACTCTTCCACTCATGAAATACCAAAAATACTCCCATATCTCAAATAGATAATTTGTATATCCATGTTCATAGCAGCATTATGCACAAGAGCTAAAAGGTGGAGGCAACCTGTGTCCATCAACAAATGAATAAATAAATAAAATGTGGTATATACATACAATGTAATATATAATATAATAATGCAGCCTTGAAAAGGAAGGAAATTCTGTTACATGTTACAACATGGATAAACCTTGGGGACATTTTGCTAAGTGAAATAACTCAGTCACAAAAAGACAAATACTATATGATTCCTCTGTTTATATGAGTAGTTAAATGCATAGGGACAGAAAACAGAATGGTGGTACCAGGGGCTAAGGAGATGGGAAATGGGGAGTTAGTATTTAATGGGTACAGAGTTTCAGTTTTGCAAGAGGGAAATATTTCTGAAGATGGATGGAGGAGGTGATGGTTATTCAACAATATATTTAATGACACCTAAAAAGACTAAGTAAATTTTATGTTATGTGTATTTTACCACAATTAAAAATAAAAACAAAAAAAGTTTAAAAAGACCCCTATATACTTCCAATTGCACCCCTCTCCCACTGACATTGTGGAGGGGGTGCTGAGCCACTGCATCCATTCTTGAGAAGCCTTTCTTAAATTAATTCTCTTAAAGCCTTCCCTGATGAACCCAGCCCATTTCCTGTTTATAGCAATGATTGACTATTATATTTATTCCCAGCTTCAAATGATTTGTATCACATAATCTGACACATTATTATGTACATTTTGGTTCATTAAATGGCTCTGTGTTCTGAGCTAGAACTTAAAATCCTCGGGCTTTTGTCTGACTCTCAGGACCTTGCTCAGTACTAGGCCTATGATTTATATTCCATAAATACTTGTCTATCAGTTGACTAGTGGAGGCATTACCAGAGAGCAACCTACAGCTACAGAAGTCGTGATTACTTGGAATTTGGATGTGCTGCCTGCTGCACTTTCCTTAGCCTCCCTCTGCACTTTCCGCCTTGCTACAGCACTGTGAGTTACTGTCCTCCTACAGGCAACAAAAGTACCATTGTCCTGGGGAGTATGAGTCTTGCTGCCTCGTTATTATGGAAAATTGTAAAGACCTCTTTAAGCTTGAGCTCCCTTCATCTGTGAATCACAGAGGCCTGCTTTTAAAGCCAGTGTAATTTCTCAGCCCTCTTGGAGGAAGCCTCTGTTCAGTTCTTACATTCACTAATAAGGTCAAACCTTTCCCACCTGTTCACATTAGCCTTTTCATTTACTATTCTTTGGAACCATTTCAGACTTACTGTCAGGTAATAACCTGCCATCATTTAACTCTGTACGGTATGGCTTTTTTCTCTCCTCCAAGTTCAGCACTTCCCCCTCAGACACTCAACTCTCCTTCCCTATCCAACTCCCAAACTAGACATTACTGCACAAGAGCCATGAGGTTTTCAAGCCCCAACAATTCATTTCCAGAATCAGAATGCATTTACTCTTTCTAAATTTCTCTGACCTTCTTAAGCTTTCATGCAGGAACATGATGCTCGGTAAAGTAGTAGAGCATGAAAAAGCCCTTTGCAATTTGGTACAGGGAAATGGAACCCTGAAAACCTATTGGAGGCATAATCATCTGACAACTGCTCAAAGCCTGGGTAGAGCAAACCAGGAGCAGATTTATTACTGCTCCAAAGTATGCCTTTGGTTTTGATAAGAGTTTCTGCCCAAGAAAAACAGTTATTTCATGCTGTTACTACTTCTTATATCTTTGTTCAATTTTAACAACCTATGCAGGAGTAGTAACAATTCCTTTCAACTTCTGCCTTTCACCAAGAACTGTTACTCAGTGGCCATAAGCCCTACAAGTCATTAATGAGCATCCTGACCGATCTATTCAGGAGAGCTTTATGCAGCCTCTATGACTTTAGCCCACACTGGAGATGAATTACAGAGGCCCTGTTTCCAGCATGAGGCTGTGATTCCCTATGTTAACCTGAACATCTGTTGATTTTGATACCTGCCTACCCAGAGGGCACGTGGTTCTCTTTCAAAGAATTCACATCAAATGTTAATAGGGTCCTTTGGGGAGTCTTCTTTACATGAATAGAATATAATTCATATTTTGTGCCTAGTATTTTCCTTCCTGTTGATTTTGGGGTAGAGCTGATGGGAAGTACGATGCTTCATACAGCCACAGGGAAGAGGTGAAGCAGGGAGGGATGGAGGGCTTCACTGTCTGTTCCTCACTGTACTTTTATTTCCAAGGTAATGTTTCAGGGCAGTAGAACATCCTCTTTGAGCACATATGTTGGTAATACATTTCTCAAGGCAAAATAATAAGTGAGGTTCCTCACCATTTTCATTAGGACATTTGGGACTGTTTTGAAGAAGTCCTGATGTTCCCTGAGGTTATGAAATTTCACGCTCCATTTCGAAAATGTGGCTGCAAATGTGATGGAGAAAAAGGCAAGTGTTCTTGGCACATTTGTGTGTGTTTTCTAATGTGGTTGGTTTGTGTGGTCTGAACAAGTAAATGGCAAGGAGGGTACAAAAAACCCCGTGTGTCCTGGTCTTCTAACAAGTTGACCTGTGTGCCACAGAATGAACAAGGACAGAAAACTCTTTAAAGGAAGATCGATTGTTATCTTGGCAACTTTGTCAATAAATTGACCCTTAGTTGTTCACACTGACTTGTTCAACACAAATGGCAGATGCCTTTATAAATCTAAAATCAACCATGGATCGAGGTTGTAAAGAATCCTATGCACTCTAGGAGCTGGTAGTCCTTATGCTGCTAATGTTATTTTAAAATTAGGGATTAATGATTCTCTTCTTCTAGGTGTCTGATGCCCTAAAAAAGTTGCCGGACACCACATGAAACAAACCTATGTCAGCTTCGTATGCATCAGAAGCTAATCCTTTACCAAGTGTTTTTGCGTTTCAGAGGAGAATTACAACATTGCCCCAAAATGTGTAAGCCATGAATTTATCTGTATAATTATCAAACTATAAATCATTTTATGGCAGTTATACAAGGTTGGCATGGACAGAGACTGCAAACACATGTTTATGTCCTCCCTCTTTCTGGAAATTAGATTCAAGGTGACTCCCATAAAATCAGAATGACTCCTCCCCACTCCCAACCCAGATGTGAAAGTGATGATTTTTCTTGACACAGAGAGAGAGGGAGAAGGGGAGAGAGAGAGAGAGAGAGAGAGAGAGAGAGAGAGAGAGAGAGAGAGAGAGAAAGAGAGCAGTGAGTTGATAAATCTCTGATGAAGGGAGAGGAGTGTTCATGATTGTAGATCAGGCCAGCTTCAGTGATAACTGATCTGTTTTTATGTCTTCTACATATTGGGCTCATGTATAAGCTTTTATTTGAATCTAGTTCAATGGCAGCAAGTTTAAAAAACATTTTATCATTTTACAATTGGCAACATTTATTTTTGATTCCATGTCTCACTTCCACCCTCTTTCCATACCCTTATTTTTTTGATCTTTATTCCAGTCAATAATCCATCAATAAAGTCTCCATGGGCTCCTTTGGAAAGCTTAATTTGTAGTAAGAATAGAGGTTGGTGCCCTCTGGAGCTTTGGACTCTTTTGCAACGCCCTTCTTGTTACTCCATAATCTTTTTCTCTACCATTCTCACTTTGATTTCCATTTTCTCCACTGCTCAGTTACCTGTGTCCTCTGCTGTCACCTCAAATTCTTTCTTTCTTTCCTTCTTTCTTTCCTTCTTTCTTTCCTTCTTT